ATAGTATATGTAATTTGTAGCAACATTAATAAATGGACAGAAATCTGAATGTGAATAAGAATAACAAATTCACAATAGTTGTCATTGTGAGAGGAGGAGGGGCTGGCAAGTGGTTTAGCTGTGGCTTGGTTAGATTTTGGTTTTTAATTTGGAAATAGAAACAAAGGACCACAGGCAGTTGTAGCAGGATGTTGGGGGCCTCAATAAATGTTGTTGTTGACAGGTGTCATCGAGTCAGTACTGACTCATAGCGACCTTATGTACAGCACAACAAAACTCTGCCCTATCCTGGGCCAACCTCATACTTGTTGCCATGCTTGAGACCATTGATGCTGCCACTTGGTCAATTCATCTCGCTGGAGGTCTTCTTTTCCTCTTACCTTCCACCTTACCAAACATGATATCCTTTTCAAGGGACTGGTCCCTTCTGACAATATTTCCGAAGTATGAGACGAAGTTTTGCCATCCTGACCTCCAGGGGGCGCTCTGGCTGCACTTATGTATTGGTTCTTTTGGCAGCCCGTGGCACCTTCAGTATTCTCCTCCAACACCATAACTCAAAAGCATCAATTCTTCTACGGTCTTCCTTATTCACTGTCCACCTTTCCCATGCATATGAGGTTATTGAAAATACCACAGATTGGGTCAGGCGCACCTTAGGCCTCACGCTGACGTCTTTGCTCTTCGACACTTTAAGGAGGTTTTTAAAAAGACCCTACTGATCAATAAACAGTACTGGATGTATAGATTTTTCTAGTTTAATTCTCTTTATGCTTAAAGTGTATCCTATTGTTGGTTTGTTTAGTTAAGGAGATTGCTTTTGCTAAATATTGATAATTAATCAAAAACAATTGAGGCAAACCTTTGATAAACTATAAAACCACTTTGAAATGTTAATTTTTGGGAAAACCAGTATGGCAATGTAGGATAATGAATGGGCTCATAACCAAAAGGTCGGCGATTCAACCCCACCAGCCGCTCCTCGGAAGCACTGTACAGGGTTGCTATGGGTCGGAACCAACTTGATGGCACTTAATAACAACAACCTGTAAATAGAGTCAGTGAAATTCACATCAGGTTCTTCAGAAATGAAGTGTTTGTTCCATATGC